CCATGCATATGACCTGCATTGCAATTGACATGGGTCTACACATTTTACATGAGTTAGATCCATATTCATGGGGAATGTTTATTATTTCAATAGTTCCCTTTCTCCCTTTCAATTTTCCCCATGTGTATAGGATACAAATATTTGATCATGACAAATAATTTTGAAGTTCCTCATAATGATTCATTCCAAATTCATCAAAAGGATATAAGAAGAAATAGATTTATTTAAGATTGATTTATTTATTTGAGAGAGAGAGTGGGGAGAGGGGCAGAGGGAAAGAGACAAGAAGACTCCCTGAACGTGGAGCCCTGTGTGGGGCTCAGTTCATGACCCCGAGATCTTTACCTCAGCTGAATCAAGAGTCTGAGGCTTAACTGACTGAGTCACCCAGGTGCCCCAAGAGGAAATAAAATTTTGATAAATACATAAATACCTATCTAAATATATATTCATATGTACTATATGACTATAATATCAAATACATGAGAGAGACACAAATAGACAAATGAACAGATGGAGAGATAGAGAAGCACGAATTTAACCTTCAGTAGTCAACAAACCTACTAATTTTGAGATCCTACTTCCTATATGGTTTTCCCTTACTTTTCATGTCATTGCCACAGTAGAGTCTTCAGCTAAAAATGAAGCGCCCAGATTTGTGTTTGTATCTCAGTGATTCTGGACCTCTTTCTCTAGGGAACAGAGGCCAGACCCTATCATGTCCAGAATCAATCATGTAGTTCAATATCGAAAAGGTCACTAGCTGGACTTTTGGTTTCTGGACAAAATTATTAAAGTAATTGATGAGGGCACAGAAGATAAGCTGAGGACAAAGCAGAAGCTGACACCCCGCAACCCCACCCCCAGGGGATATATGTGACATTCCTCAGGCACTCCTGGCTGTCCTAAAGGGAAAACAAACAATTAACTTGTAGAGATCACAGTCCTGCAAAGCCTGAGTCTCCCTCAGTTGACAAAGGTCCTAGTGATTTACAAGGAAAAGACTTTCTTATCAATAGCCTAACTTCCAAAGACCCATAACTCAGTTCCTGAATCCCTAACATCATCCTCCCCTGCATAAAATTGAGGGAGGCTGAGGCAGAGGGAAGTGGAAATAAAGTTACATTTCTCCCAACCTAAAGCTTGATAAGGATTCGTGATAGCAGGAGTGTGACATTCCTCCAGGATGCTCCCAACTATTTTACTGTTAATGCCTCACTGAAAGGAAAAACAACCTTAACTTGGCAATCTCAAGGCCTCTGGTATCTTGTAGGTCCTCTTTAGCATATGAAAGTTCTTTCAAACCCTCCCATCTTCCTTACTTCTCCCAACCTGGTAGTATATAGTTAGCCACTCCTCAAAACCCTGGGGTAGCAGCTCTTTCAGTCCCTGTGTCCTATCCCCGTGCTTTAATAAAATCACCATTTTGCACCAAAGACATCTCAAGAATTCTTTCTTGGTCATCGGCTCAGGACCTCACTTATATTCTAGAACTTCATCGTAATGATTAGGGAAAGCAGAATAAATTATGTCCTCAAATACTAAACTTAAGCATTTTAACGATTAATTCACATTTTGAATAGATTTTTAAAGGTCATAAGACATTTAAACACTAGATAGGAAATCAGAGAACAATTGTGTCCTGGCTTTCCCACTTAATATCCAAGCGACTTCAGGCACCTCTGATTGTCAGTATCCTCATCTATAACCTTGGGTTAATAATAATCGCCCTGCTTCCTTCCAGAGCACTTGAGATGTAAATACTTTCAAAATTATAAAATGCTTCTACAAATGTAAAGATTATTATCACTCTGTAATTCCCACAGATAACATATCACCAAAAAAGGAAGAAAACAATGGCATAAAATGATTCAGCAAATATCGAAATGCAGTAATTCTACTTCACTGAAATTTGAAACAAGAAATTTGAGATGCTCTTCTTACATCTTTAAGGATAAAATAGGAAAAGGAGGAGGCCCAGCTGTTATAAGCTGTGTGTATGAATTAAGAAACAATCCAAGTTAATCAGGTCTGTCTGGAGTTCTGCCTCCCCAGCTCTGCCTCCCATCTACAGATTCTCTGTCTCAGATTTAGCCACCACAGTTGACATTAGACAAGTGGATTCATCTTTTCATAGGAGTTTCTGTTACCTGCTGAGAGAGTGAGCAATAAGTCAGCCTCTCCACTAATTGAGTTCTGACCTCATAGGCCTTTTCTAACAGCTGAATTTATTTTCCAAGTTCTGACCCTGCTTTGTAGACACCACTTATCACTGGATCCTTTATCAATTCTTGACAACCCTGTCCTCAGCCTTCTTCCATTGTGTCCATCTTCTCTCAGGAAGTGTCACCCTTTGCCTGAAGCCCAGCTCTCATCTGAGATCTCTACCTGCTAAGAGTCTTCCCTGCTGCGGATTGCTTGGATGGGAGAGCACTGCCTGCTGACACACTCCTGCTCATCACGCAGCTGCCTGCACCACACTCTTGACCTCAAAATTCCCTGACAGTCTTCCCTGGTGCTGCCTGATGCATGGGTTATAACCTACTGAATGTTCTCCATTCCTAAAATTCTGCTTGCTTAGATGAAGTTGTTCTTAGTACCTACTGGTGATTTATCCCTAAGGGTCTATCTGCTTCCAGGGATTGTTACCCTACATGGTCTTCATTTGCCACATGCTTTCTCCGGGCCAAGTCTTGCCAAGTCCTTTTTCCAGCTTTGAGCAAAAATGGCTTGACAGCTAAAGAGCTGTCTACTGATGCTTATAAGTTGCCTTCAAAACTTACCAGCTTAAAACAACGAACTTTTATCATCTCACTATCTGAGAGTCAAAAATCTAGGATCAGTTTACAGGGCAGGTGCTTCTGACTTAGGGTCTTTCCATGAGGTTGCATCAAGATTTGGCCATGGCTGTAATCAGCTGACGGGGCTGGAGGATCCCTTTCCCAGATGACTCATTTACACAGTTTCTGGCTGGAACTCTCAGTCCCTCTCCACCTAGATTTCTCCATAGACCTACTGGAGAGCCTTCACATCATGGCAGCTAGCTTTCATCAGAGTGAATGAGCCAGAAGAGAGAACAAGGTAGAAGTCCAATGCCTTTTACAACCTAACTTTGAAAGTTGCACACCAATACTTCTGCCATATTATAATGTTAACACAGAGAAATCCTGATATGATATAGGAAAGACCTATACAAGGGTATGTGACTAGCAGGTGGGGAGTATTAAGGGCCATGACATGGCCTAAATGGAAACAAAAGTTCTGTAAAAAACAAGCAACAATAGAATACCCCCAAAACAACAACAAAAACAACAAGCATTGCTCTTTAGTCTATCCTCAACCCCTTTATATCTAACTGGTCTGCTGAATTACCACACCCAATCCAGAATATAAGCCAACTAGGAGCCATAGTACTTAGACGATTCCCAGTAGACTCCTACGCATTGACTCTCCACTTTCTCGTGCTTTGGGCTAATCTCTTTGTTCACAGATCTTAGACTATCTCAATGACAATCTTGGATAGGAAGGTACTGGCTCCATTCCCAGGCCCAGAGAAATCTCCAGTTTCTCATTATTAATCAGATATCATTCTGAGTGTAGGGAAAATAGAGGAAAAATCATTGAAGGGTATGGAGAACTTGCCTGCTTGTTGGAACCATCAGTATACCTCATAACAATGAGTTCAGTTCATGATGTCATGTCAACATCTTCTCAAGCACTTTCAAATGGTTCCCAGTGTCTATTAGTTTTTCTCCAATTTTATTTAAGAATTCCATACATCCCAGAAAAGATTCTCAGTGTAGTATTTGCATTACTAATATTCAACAAATTAATAATAGTGGCAAAGACAATCTTCTTGATTTGATTATGAATTATACTTAACATATCAATCCAGTCAATAAACTATCTCTTAGCTGAACTTCTCTATAGTACTATTTCCTCTTTTTTTTCTCTCTCTCTCACTTTTTCTTCTGTGAAATGAGAATAAGAAAAAATTTTCAAAATCACATCTTCCTGAAAGCAAACAGGAAAGTAGAGCCCAGAGAGATGCTGTCCATAATTTCTTTTGATCTTTCTGACAATTTTTTGGAAATCCCTTTGCTCCACATAAGCATGTATCTTTCTGTCCTTCATCAGTAGAAGCCTAGATGCCGCACACTCTCTATCTGATAACTCAAGCACATTCTATGGGTTATCTCCTTCCATCTTCCTTTTCTGTGGCTGTTGTTAGTTTTTCCTCCTACATTTAACCTTTCAAAGCTGGTGTTTGTCATGCTTGGTCCTGAGCTCTTTAAGTCTTCCTTTTATAATTCTCCTCCTACGTTACCTCACTCTTCCCTGTGGCTTTAAGTTCCCCTCTATCTCAACAATGCTTACCTTTGTATTTCCAGGCCCACTGCCTCTCTTGAGCTCAAGTGTCATATGTGCAATGTCTATCCAGTAGCATCGTTAACATATCCTATAGATTTCTCCAACTTAACGAGTCTAAAATCCAGTCTTGATCCTGGGCCCTGCTTTCCAACATTGGTTTCTCTCTCTCAGTCTTTATATCTCTGTAAGTGATATCATCTAGCTGCATAAACCGAACACCCAGGAAATTATCCTTGAATCCTTTTGCTCTCACACATTCCCTGCACCCAATCTATCACAAAAATCTGGTCATGTCTGCCCCTAAAAGAGGTGGCAATTCTACGTTTCTCCATTCCATTGTTCATCTCCTCTGTCCAGGTGTCATCACTTTTCACCTAGTTTCCAACATTGCTCTTTTAACATCTTTCATCCTTATAAACCATTTCCTCCTGCAGCAACCAGAGTGATCAGTTGAAATTTTTAGTCAACTCTATCCAATGATGTTCTATTGTACATAGACACAAGTCTTGCAAATGACAGTACAGACAAAAGGTTGATATCCAGGATCTATAAAGAACTCCTCAAACTCAACACACACAAAACAGACAATCATATCAAAAAATGGGCACAAGTCTAAATTTCTAACCATAGGCTGTGATGCCTGCAGGTGACCCACACCTACATAGTCATACCTTTCTCTTCCTTCTTCCCTGGCCCTCCAGTCACAGTGCCTTCTTTTTCTTCCTGAAACACAACAACGCAAAAGATTCTTTTTTCCCTCAGAGCTTTCAGATATATTTCTTCTGTTTAGGATGTTCTCCCACTCCACCTGTAATACTCAGAGGGGGCAGTTAACACTCTGCAATCAGCCAAGTTAGGATTCACAAGTGACCACCTGGAGGAACCTGGGTAGCTCTTTCTCCTCCCCCTGAAAGGCTGTAGCTGAGATCATAAGGGTAGCACCTTTGCGGGGCACCTAGGCGGCTCAGTCAGCTAAGGGACCAATTCTCAATTTCAGCTCAGATCATGATCTCAGGGTCCTGGGATTGAGCCCTGTGTTGGGCTCCATGCTCATTGCAGAGTCTGCTTCAGATTATCTCTCCCTCTTCCACTGCCCCTCCCCACTCTCTCTGTCTAAAAATAAATAAATAAAATCTTTAAAAAAAATGCTACACCTTGGCTAGATAATATGTCATAAATGTAACCTTGTAATTACTTCATTAAATGTTACTGAGTCACATGTTTCTCATTACTCTTTCACAGCATTCCTGGGTTACCTGTTATAAAGAGGGACTTACACTTTTGCAAACTGATGGTCAGCAAAGTGCAGTGGTTAAGAGCCTGGTGGAGCGGTGGATAGGAAGGAGGCTGACAGCTGAATTAACCAGGGTCGGGCGATGCCAAGAACTCAATAAACATGAGGACAAAGGGTTTGAATGAATACCTTAATGTTTTGGCTCTGGGAATTAATCTGGGTAAGTGACAGCATGAGGGGGGTAAAGGACATTGGGTCTTAGTGAGTCAATGGATTGTTGGATGAAGGGCACTAAGTGAAGCCAGCCGGTAAGAGAGGAAGTGATGGCAGAGAATAGGGGCTTATAGTTGAGGTTGTAAAGTACCTGTGTGAGGACAGGTGGAGGGCATAATTTTTGCATGGAAGGAGTCAAGGAACCAAGAGGCTAAGGTCTTTGATAGATCATCGTTGTGGCTATTGAGACACAATAATTGTGACAAGAGTAAGGTAGAACAGAGTGACCTGAAGCCTTAGACATTGAGAAGGGACCTGAGGCTCTGGCAGGTGCCTGCCGCAAGGAGAGGCCATGGGTCAACTTTAAACCACAGCATTATGGGACACTTGGGTGATTCAGTCGGTTAAGCCTCCAACTCTCAGTTCAGGTCTTGATCTCAACTTGTGTCTTGACCTCAGGGTTGTGAGTTCAAGCCCTGCATTGGACATGGAGCTTACTTAAAAGAAAAATAAGTAAATAAATAAGTAAACCATGGTATTATTGTGAGAATATATATTTATATCAGCTTTCCTCTCTAGAAAACATTTAAATACAGATCATCTCTTTTAATATTTTTCTTAAGTCTGTGAAGTAGGATTTTGTGGGGAAAGACAACTAACATCTGTTCCATCTATTCTCTGGAGGAGGAACTATGCTGAATGTTTCTCATGTCGTATCTTTTATTTTCAAACCTACCCACTGCCTGGCAACTTTTGTTCTCCCAGGCATAGTCCTGGAATTAACAGTCTGCCTCACTGATCTATCAAGCTAATGAGAAGATCTGTTCTTTCTTAAAGACTTTTTGACCGCCATTCTCAACTTTTCTAGATTGGGGGGATAGTAACTAAAACAGTGTTAATTCTTTGGGGAAGACCCTGTTTGGGAGACTCTGAGCAGAAGTGGTCAGACAGGTTGAACCGGTGAGAGAGGATAAAATGAGAACATCAAGTTATGTGGTCTATTCAAGAATAACTTAAAAGAGGAGGTGAGAAATTAGGTAAGAATTGAGAGCAAGGTCTCACTACCATGCTTCTTGAGTGCTGGATAAGAGAGAGTTGGTAATCTATGTGTTTGGGCAACCCTGTCTGAGTCCTGAATCCTTCTGAATGCTCCCTCCGCCATAGAACAGAACCGTTCCATGCTCAAGAGAGCGTTCCCCAATTAGCCAGCACTTATTATACACAGACACTGAGCCAAGAACGTTCCGTTGTCTCTCAAGAATGGCTATTCTGATAAGCAGTCATGATGGATGCTTTTACCGAATATATCCTCACCCCCTCTTTCCTCTGCCCTTCTCTAAAACCTGAAAATCCCTGCCTGTGTAGATATTAATTACTAGTCTCTTTCCTTACAGGAGATAGAGACCAGATATTGTCTCGGGGGGATTTTATGAGCTTGATTTCACACAAGACGAATTTCTTTGTCCCTAAAACATGACTGAGAAAGCCTGCGTGTGAATTCAGTGAGGTCAAGCGACAGTAATTGCCGAGGTCAGGGCTCACACTTTGTATTCAGTGGAGCAAGTATGGGGCCTCCTGAGGGATAAAGACCCATCCCTCCTTTGAGGTTGTGGAATGTCTGAATGGAAAGAACAAAAACTTTGGGTTTAATTCCTTGTTTGCGTCGTTGCTAGATGTTCCGTGTTAGCCAATTTCCCACATCTCTCTTGTACCTTAATTCCCCACCCCTAAAATGAAGATGTGAGTAATATCTGCCTTATTGAGTTGTTTTTAGACATGAGGAGTTCATATACACTTTGTACTAATACACAGTAGGTATTTGGTTAACATAACTATTATTTTAAAGTCAGGAGGATCAGTGAATGCACGTATCATCTGAATTGTGTGTGCTTGTGGGATACGTAGGGATTCATTATCCCTATTAAATGCTCCAAACTGGACACAGCCAATGCTATTTTTAAACTACTTTGTATGTTTTAATGTTTCTCTCTCTCTCTCTCTCTTTTTTAAACAGAAGAGACAAGGAGATTATCCTACTATTTTTGTTTAACCTTTGGTATGCAAGAAGTCTTTTGAAGCCAGCAAACAGTTCTTCCTCAAAGCTAAGCGAGAGTGAGTGAGGAAAAGGCAGCAGCGGTCTTTCCCTTTGGTTCAGTCAAGGAAGCATGAACTGGACTGAATAAAAGAAGCTCGGCGAGGTTAGAAGCCTGGGCCACTGGGTCATCACAGACTCAAGCCAGAGCTGTCCAAAGAAGGATGAGCTGTATGTACTACTCCACCGTCACAATCCATCTCAAAATGGAGAAGACAAGATGCTGGCTAAGCTTGGCTTGCCGTCTCTTTGAATGCAAATCCCCTCTGATTTACAGTCAAGTTCCTTGAATGAATGAGAGAGAATACAATGGAAATTAGAAAAGTTTAAGTTAGATATTTGTTTCCTAAAAATGTTTTTCAAAAAAATTTTTTTTTCTATTTCCAAGGACCCTTGTGTATTTGGCTTGTCTTTTTTGGAACAAAGATAGACTCTGGCCTATGCATTGTGTTTCCTTGTTCCCTGAGGGCCTTACAGGGGTGTTATTCCTGCAAAGATTGCCTGATTTGACCACTTCGAGGCTGGGGAGATGGGCCTTCCACTCTTGCAGCATCATCCTGGTGTCAGGCAGTTATGTCTAGGAGCCAAAAGATAGGACTGAAGCCATGGTACCTTTTTTTTTTTTTTTTTAATTTATGTATCTAAAATCTAAGCTAGTCTCTCTACCCTAATGACTAAGCACAATAAATATTTTCTGAAGCAATGAAACAGGGACAAACTCTTCTCTCCGTGCATTCCAGCAACATTTCTGAACTGTCGATTTCTTTCAAGTGAGAGCACTTAAGAGTCTGTCCTCTCTAGAGGGGTAAGAGAGCATCACTCTCAGAGGGAGGGGCAGCACTGCCCGCCAGGGAAAGCAGCAGACCCTGCTCTCAGACTCTGGTTCTACTGGGAAACTAATGCAAGCAGTCGTATTATTTGCTTGACTTGGGGAAACCAAAGTGGGAATTCAGCTCAGGCTTTGGGGAGTTCATTTCTTTACATGGAGTTAATTTGGATATGGATATTGTAGATGGAGCAACAGCACGAACATGGGTTTCATGGGCAAGTGATGGCATGCATTATAGATGCACATAAATACCTTGCATGTATTATTAAAGCCTTGTTTTGTGTACATGTCACATAAATATTCAAATATTTTGCAAACTGATGCCCTCATAGGCAGAAACTGGCACTTTTGAAAATATACCTTGGCCATTTTAAATTTGGCTTTGATCCCTTTTAGATGACGCTAGAGATCTAATTCTTCATAGCCCTCCCCCTTCCTCATTGTCTTATAGCTCTGCTCCACCCGCTGGAGTCACTTTTCTGACTCCTGATATAATCAATGCTTGTGAAACCTTAGAAATTTTTTTTTTTTAGATTTTATTTATTTATTTAGTCAGAGAGAGAGAAAGAGAGTGCAAGCACAAGCAGGCAAAATGGCAGGCAGAGGCAGAGAGAGAAGCAGGCTCCCTGCTGAGCAAGCATTCCCGATGCCATGCGGGACTCCATCCCAGGACTTTGGGATCATGACCTGAGCTGAAGGCAGTGGCTTAACCGACTGAGCCACCCAGGTGTCCCGAAATGGTTTATTTTTGCCCTTAGCATCACAAATTAGAAAAAAAAAATTAACTTAGTGTGGCCTTGTATTGTTACATGGATAAACTTTTAAACTGGTCATGGCTCTAGAAGCACATAGGTTCAGGGTTCGTGAAGGTTGTAAAATGAATGAAATAGCCAGCATCGGGGAGGGAAGCTGGATGCCCTGCTCTGTCCTTTCCAAAGCAGCTCTACTGTATTGCTGCCAGCCCTGGTTTACACTCCACAGACGGACATCTGTGAAGTTCAGCCACAGAGAGAGAATGCAAAGACAGTGGGGCTGCGGACAGAGGAATTACAAGAAGGACTGGGCCTGAGCAGGCAGCAAGTTCAAGGCAAGAATAACTTGTTCTTCTCCAGAGTGAGGGAAAAACAAATTCTTTGGGTAATAATGAACTTTGTTTTATTGATGAACATTTATGAGTGTTAGGAGACAGAGTGTGTGGGCTGTCACCGGGGTAACAAGTGGGCCGTAGTTCAGCAGACTGGTAAATTTATGGTAAAATTTAGAGAGGATTCATCAGTATGCTTCAGTCTCCTCCATTCAGAGCAACATCAGGGGAGGCTGGGATGGTGAGTTCCACCGAGGGTCAAGGAGGGGAG